ATGTTGAATAAATATTTTCTCTTTCGGCCTGTTGTCTTGGAGCAGAAATTTCTCTCAACGCTCAGATGCGCTTTGTTACACTTTTGTTAATATAATAGTAAATTTATATATATAAGTTATCACAACCAATTGAAGAACAGGCAAAGGGCAGTCTCAACTGGTTCTAACTGAGTGTGAATCGACTCTCGGTCAACGCTCTTGAGAAGTCAGGCAATGCAAACTTGTGGGGCAGTTTTGGACATTTTGACGTTTTCATGTCTTTACTATCATGACGTCGATGTGTAAATTGTCTTTTTTGTCATAGTGTATTTGATAAGGATGCACATATATTGTTATAGAAATGGTAATGAATAATATTGTACAGTATAAGAAGCATAAATTACCATAGTGATTCAAATTAAGCTGTCTTCACTATTTTCTCACTCATCAGGAGAAGGGGAGGATATCATTATATAATTCTATGCATTGCAAATATTAAAAAAATGGAGAAAAAAACATTTATCAATCTTCACATCTACAAAAACAAGAATTGAACGATTTGTTTGTGCTTGCTGCTGTATACAGTGGAACTTTTCCACAAATCATTTTCGCCACAGGGGTATTTGTCGGGTGCTATGATSAACTGGTACATTGATATCCGTGCTCTCGATTCCATTAAATGTTCAAGGGAAGGTTGCTATAAGATTGAATAAACATTTTTCTAAAAAAATATATAGCATTTTAAGCAATGAAATAAAAAGCTTTTAAACTTAGAAGGGATATGAATATCCGGCATTTAATGCGATCGTATCTTCATCATAATTGAGCAAAGATGGGGTAGATTCAAAAATCGATGTTTTTTTAATATTTCTCAATTTTAGAGATAAATTTTAATATATTATTAAAATACCTGCATTTGTATATTATAATTAGGGGAATGGGAAGGGTACCCTATCGTTGAATACAATTTATTATTCCCAAACACAAACAAAAGTTCGTAAGTGATTCCGTTTGACTTCCGCCTTTAATCATAGTTTGTATGAACCACATTTTACTACAGGGCTAACCTTCGATTTCTTTTTTGTCTCTCATCTATATGATTAAATTCTACCAGATACTAGAAGGGAATTGAAACGTGAAGCACCGTTTAATACTTCGAAGTATGCAAATGGATTTCAACCAAATATTCACCATACTTGGTGATTTGTCAAAATTTCGATTCAAAATAGCCACTCTCCTTTTGATTCACTGATTCTAAGTAACAGTAGATGTTTTAGGACTAAACGTTAAGGGTTTTTAAAGCATAATCCTTAACCCCTCGCACAAACGTCTTCCCTGTTCTTTCTAATAAGGGGAACTTTTTCATTGGAAGAATATATTTGGGTGTCAAGCTCAGCCCATCTGGTCCAGGAGGCCACTGTCTCTTACACCATTCCCTTATCTCTAGAACTTTTGCCTCCTCGTCCGACCCATCACTTTTTGTATCCTCGCGTAGAATTAGGCATGCGCAGACCTCCTCGTGCAACTGCTGATCAGGRATWCCAACCACAACAACATCTGCCACTTGTGGGTGCTGCAACAGAACTTTTTCAATGTGGGCAGGAMAAATCTTYRCGGTTGCTCGTTTGATAATTTCTGTCTTTCNTGTAATCAAACACAATTAAAACACACTGAAAATCAATATTGTAGCTATGCCGTTTCGTTTCCTCGCGATTTACTCGAACGTCGGATAGGCTTCTTTGTTTTTCTTGGCGCCTCGTCTTGTATGAATTTGACCATCCAAAAAATCAACGACTCGGCGTTCATGTCATCAAAACCACCAGCGTCAGCATATCCTGGAATGACTCGCTGTTTTTGAAACTGAAACTGGTGCTCCCATTAATGGCTTTCTTGTTCGCACGGTCTTTTTGCTGGTCGCAAAATAAGGTTGCGGACCATTTTGTGGAATATTTTGTGGAACACTCCCCCGAACAATAGCGCTTTCCTTTATGTTGAGTTTTAGGTCTGCTAAATCGACTCGACATGTCTGCGAGGGAGAAATGAAAGCCAACTGATTTAATTTTTGCTAACTATGAATGCCTAATATCTTGCAATTCCTTTGACAATTCTAATTTTCTATAGTTTGGCAAGCACATTCTTTAGAAAATAATAGGAAAATAAACAATGTTCAGGAGTAAGTATAAAAAGCTTCTAATGTGACAATTCCACTTTCAATTAATCATTTAGAAATTCCCTTGATAGTTCAGTCGTTTCATGAAACAATGGCGGCATACATGAAACAGTTATATTTGACGAATATTTAATAACGGCGACATACTGTGATAATTTTAATCGATGAAATGCAGCAAGATACTCAATTTTTCAAAAACATTAAGATGAAAATTATTATAAAGTTTGATAAGCCGTATACAGAACTCGAGAGCGTGTTGTATCGGGGCTAAAGATCCTCGCCTTCGTCTCGGATCTTTATCACTCGATACAACACGCTCTCTCGTTCTGTATACATTACTTAAAATGTCAAAAAAAAAAATTGTACAAGAGGGATGTTCAGAGGGATATCTTTTAAAATATTGAATTAATATTTTTCAAAAGACATAGAACATCTTGAGCAATCCAATTAAAAGCGTTCAAACTGAGAAGGGTCATAAATATCCGGCATTCATTGCGATGGTATTTTCATGATACATGTAAAATGAAGTGATTTAAAAAATCGACTTTTTTTGATTTTAGAAATCGATTTTAACATTTGTATAACATAATTAAGAGATTGTAAAAAGCACTTTATCGTTTAATTATGATTTAATATTCCAAAACACAAACAAAAGTTCGTAAGCCGGATGCTGTTTGATTTTCCAATTTAATCATACATTGAATGAAACACATTTTATTCACTAACGTAACTAACCATCGATTTTTATGTCTCAACTTTATATGATTAAACTATAATTTCAACAATAACTTTCTCTTTCATTTCTATATCATGATTTAACTCAGTCAGATATATACTCACAAGGAAATTGGAACGTTAAGCACCGTCCATTACTTCGAAGTGTGCAACTGGATTAACAGATAATTTTCACCATCAAAATTTCGATTCAAAATAGCCACTCTCCCTTGATTCTCTGATTCTAAGTAACAGTAGATATTTTAGGACTAAACGCTAAGGTTTTTTAAGGCATAATCCTTAACTCCTCGCACAAACGTCTTCCCTGTTCTTTCTAATATACGGGGAACTTTTTCATTGGAAGAAAATATTTGGGTGTCAAGCTCAGCCCATCTGGTCCAGGAGGCCACTGTTTCTTACACCATTCCCTTATCTCTAGTACTTTTGCTTCCTCGTCCGAACCATCACTTTCTGTATCCTCGCTATTGTATCCGAGCTGTACCGCTGACCAATCATACTAAACACACCAATGTGACTAAGGNAGATACTAGAAGGGAATTGAAACGTGAAGCACCGTTTAATACTTCGAAGTATGCAAATGGATTTCAACCAAATATTCACCATACTTGGTGATTTGTCAAAATTTCGATTCAAAATAGCCACTCTCCTTTTGATTCACTGATTCTAAGTAACAGTAGATGTTTTAGGACTAAACGTTAAGGGTTTTTAAAGCATAATCCTTAACCCCTCGCACAAACGTCTTCCCTGTTCTTTCTAATAAGGGGAACTTTTTCATTGGAAGAATATATTTGGGTGTCAAGCTCAGCCCATCTGGTCCAGGAGGCCACTGTCTCTTACACCATTCCCTTATCTCTAGAACTTTTGCCTCCTCGTCCGACCCATCACTTTTTGTATCCTCGCGTAGAATTAGGCATGCGCAGACCTCCTCGTGCAACTGCTGATCAGGGATACCAACCACAACAACATCTGCCACTTGTGGGTGCTGCAACAGAACTTTTTCAATGTGGGCAGGACAAATCTTCACGGTTGCTCGTTTGATAATTTCTGTCTTTCTTCCAATCATCTCGATCTTACCATCATCATACATGATTCCTGTATCTCCCATGTGAACCCAGCCTGTCGATGATTTGGTTTGCTTGGTAGCTTCAGGGTTCTCCAAATATTCCAAAAAAACCGAGGCATTTCGCGCACAGATTTCTCCAGGAGTTCCTCTGGATACCAACTTACTTTCTTCGTCGACAATTTTAACTTCAACACCTTCATTAATGGTCAGTTTGGCGTACTTTTCTTCTACTGCCGTTTCTTTGATTACTATCATCTTCGCAAGCGACTGCGACTCCGAAGACGCATACAATAGTGCTAGTGCTACTTTAGGGAATATTGTGGTGAGTGTTGCCACTGTATCCAAGCTGAACCGCTGACCAAACATAGTAAACACACTGACGTTACTAAGGTCATATTTCAGGTGCATCGAGCCTGTTAAAAGTTTTTGGACCAAAACAGGATTGAGTGAGCACACTGTGTACTTCTCTTTCTCCCAGATTTTAAAAACCATCTCGCATAACGCCTCGGAAACAGCCATTTCGGTGGGAGCTTTTACTATGGATGTTTTCACATTGCTCAGACCAATATTGCTCAATATGTAGCCAGCCCCCCAGGACACTGGACGGTCATTGTAGCAAATCTCTTTTCTGACCAAATGAAGCACCATTGAAAACGTTCAGAGTGGAATGGGTGCTTAGTTGCACTGCTTTTGATTCCCCTGTGCTGCTTGAAGTAAACAATGCCACAATAGGATCGTCAAACTGAACTTCGTTTTGAGCTGCTTTAAGTTTCTCTAGGTCTTGGGATTGACCACTTGTCATGAGGCCCTCGTAGGTAATAGATTGGTCGTCTCCACAATCCCCAGAAAAGGTATTCATGGAAATAACAATCTGCTTGTCAATACTGTTATCTATATTGTGTTGAATAAGCTGGTTGATTCCTTCAAACAGCTGCTTCCTTTGTGATTCCTTCATTTCTGGATCGTAAGCAATCATTCTACAGTTTAGTGTCTTTAGAAGTTTTACTTTATCAGGCGTTACATCTCCTGGACCCAGTAGAATGGCATTACAACCGATGCGGTGCAGAGCCATCGCAAATACAATGTAGCGCAGACTTGTTTGTCCTACTAACAACACGCGTTGTCCACGTGATAGACCAAGCTCAAGAAGGGATGCAGCAAGGTAGGTGGATCTGCAAGAAAGAAAACACAAGGTCAAGGGCATATTACAGACCACTGGGGATGAGATTTATCAACCTTCAAAAAAGTAAATCCTGGATTTGATCTGGTCCCAAAAGAAGTATTCCAGATAGTGAACACAATAACCTCCAGAAAACAAACAGACAAACAAACAAAAAACATTGTGATCATGCGCAAAAATGCTTTCCAAATCCCACATCCTTCATTCCCTGATTTTCTTATGCCCTGGGACTAAGTCATTAAAAAAAGTGCAGTCTAAAGACTGGCCTACCATGCAACCTATTTCAAAAAAGGTTTTCGGATAAAATAGCGAATATCAATCGCCGAACGGCTATTGCCCGACTGAAAGTAGCCATTGGTTGATTTATACTGTAAGATAGTTTGTGTTGAGAATTGGTTTTTATTTTGTCTCCATTTTAATGCAAGGTGAATTAAATAAGTAAAATTTTATTGTCGAAACAGTGTAACCATAGTCCCTTTCAGTCGTGCAATAACTCTTCGACAATCGTCGCTCGCCCTTCTCCCCGACAACGTTTATTGAAATCGGTGTATACATTCTTGCACTGGTATAAAAGATCTTGGCAAATATTTAACTTTGATAATGAAATAAAGGAATTGTGTTGCACTAAAAAACTGACCTGTCTCTGTATTCAGCAAACGTCATGGCAGATCGATTCATGTCCATATCATACATGATCACTGCTTCATTGTCTGGATACTGTTCAGCCTTGGAGTCAAGCATTTGATGCCAAAGTCGACCATTCATGGGGCTCTTATGGGGTTTATGCTCATAGCTCATCTTCGACATCTTGTCAATGACACGTTCTTCCTGTGGTAAAAAGAACTGTAAGTTAGTTTGATACCTGTCGATATTTTTATCTACAGATGCAAAGAAAGGTGTTTCACTATCATTTCATGGATCTCACTTCTCCATTGAAGCACACGGGTACTGGTAGCTTTCAAGATAGYGCTGAGACTCTATTYATTAACTATGGGACGGAAACTATAATATTGAAATTGGTCCAATAGTATTGTCKGCATTCTGACATGGAATCCGCATCGTTTATGAATTCCGGATTCTAATTTTTTTTCCGATGCATTCCATAAAAGACTTCGCAAATATTCCAGAATTCACAATAGTGGCTAGTCAGTCGTTCGACATTATTTGGAAAACATTTGTTCATTAAATTGGAATCCGGATTCCTCTTGTTTTATGGGATTCCGTTTCCATTTTCGAGTTGAAAGTTCCAAGTGTCCGTATTCCAGATTCCAGTACTCAAATTTTGACGTTTGCGGATTTCGTATCATAAGGCGAGAGTACTCCTATATATACTAGCATAGCATTAATAATCGATGGAGGACAATGGTGCATGCTTCCATGCTTTTTATAACTGTATTTTTTTTTTGTTCGACCACTATGCATTTGATGTAAAAGCACTTGAACATAGATACCGCATTCTTAAATATACATGAAAATAGAATTTGATGTCTATTCGTCAGGTTAAAGAATTAAGTAAATAAAATGTTATTTTCACTAGTTATTTTCAAAGTGTTTAAAACGGAACATAGATGGACTAGCTGTGCTATCTATCTGTCATATATGAGTCAGCATAAATTGTTGCGACATCAAGTGATGAGATTCGCCACGCATCAACGCTGAGAATTGAATTTTTAATCAATCGATTCTTGTACTGGGCGAGTACTGGAGTCCTATATTACGAGCCATGTTCAATAAATTTGAGTAGGGTATCACAACAGCAAAAAGTATTGATCGATGTCTTGGAGCAGAAATTTCTCTCAACGCTCAGATCCGCTTTGTTCATTTATACTTTTGTTAATATAATATTAAATTTATATTTGCTTATCCAACACAAATTTTCACAACCAATTGTAGAACAGGCCAACGACAGTCTAAACTGGTTCTAATGGAGTGTGAATCGACTCTCGGTCAACGCTCTTGAGAAATCAGGCAATGCAAACGTGTAGGGCAGTTTTGGACATTTTGATGTTTTCATGTCTTAACTATCATGACGTCGATGTGTAAATGTCCATTTTTGTCATAGTGTATTTACTAAGTATGCAAATATATTGTTATAGAAATGATATTGAATAGAATCTCATACCTCAATTTTAAAATCGTGCSCTKATTGGTCAGCACGTCAACCGGATGAGAGGGTATTTCAAGTGGTATTCAACGCTGAGAACCCTGAATTCAAAGCCCCGCCTTAGATCAGTTTAAAAAACTTGTTTTATTTTAACAATTCATTCACGAAATCAGTGCTTGCTCTGGCAAAATTGATTATCCAAATATTTCAGTGTCTTTAGATTCTGATTTTATAAAGTTACTAAAGCCTTTGACTCTTGCTCGTACAAGAAAAAGACGACAATCTGCTGTAATAGAGACAACTACTTCGTCCGTAACAACAACAATGGCAGAAAAAACAGTRCCGGMTTCCAGCCTCATACATGTTCAAACGCGCGTTAAAATCCCCGCTCTTTGCCCCACTTCGAAAACAATGAATCAAAATAACGACCMCCGGGGTACTCTTGCTTTTAAAAATACGTTAAGAAAGCCTCACGTTCACGTTCAGTGCATCACTAGACCCGGGGATCGGGGATCTCAATTGACTAGTGCATTAACCACGGCGGAGAAGTAAAATCGTATGCATTCAACTTCTTGCTTAAAGAAGCAAATCGCTCAACAGTCGGCCACGCTTTTGGCTGCGCAGTGACATAGTGAGGAAATTTTAAATGGGGTCATGTTATTTTTGATGGTAGTTCGTCAGCAAAACAAAAAGTTTTCCACTAATTCTAGATATTGACAAGTGTTTAAAACGGAACATAAATGGACTAGCTCTGCTATCTATCTGTCTTATATGAGCATAAACATCAATGCTGAGAATTGAATTTTTTTTAAATCAATCGATTCTTGTACTGGGATACAGGAGTCCTATAGTACGACCTATGTT